ATGCGTCGACATAAAGAACGTCGAAAACGGAGCTCGTATGTGAAAGTTACGAATTTTTAAAGTTTGGAATCGGATTTGCGATGCCTGATGCGAGATTGACGACGTGGCAACATCTGGGCTGTCCGATGATGATCAAGGCTCGCTTAGGATGAGTGACACGCTACCCTTTGCTACGCCCCGCATCCGAAGTAGGTTACGCCCCGCGTACAACTGGTCTTCTCGGTCCAGCTTCGCCCACGTTGCACCACTGAGACGTCGCCACATGGAGCTCTTATCCGAAGAACGCCCAACGTAGCCAAGGAGTACGCCCAGCGTACGTCCGAGGCTGGGGCTATAAATAGAGGCCGAAGGTAGCCTCTTCTCTTCACAAATTCACCACTCCTTCTCTCACTACTTTCTCTCTCTAAAGCCCCAAACCTCTCCTAAACCCTAGGTAAACCCCCTAGCTCCCGAAGGAAGCCCCGAGGCTCCCGGAGTCCCGAGAAAAAGGGTCTTTCAGTTCAGAAACGCTGCTCCGAGCAAAGCCCAGTTTTTAAGAAAACCCGTTGTAAGTGAGCTACGCCTACGCAATTTTTAATATAGCTTTTAAATAATTATAGTAATGTTATTAGGTCCATAAAATAATTATTTGAGCTATTATTATGAGTTATATTGAGTGTTATTTAACGCTTATATAATAGTAATAATTGCTAGACTATTAATTAGTCGCGGTTAACGTTAAAACTAAACTCTAGTGGTATTGATACTAGGTTTTGGTCAAGGAAAAATTGTTTTGAGATAATGAAGTGCTGTTCGAGTACCGAGTCACCACCTAATCAGGTGAGTGCATAGTCCCTTTCATGAACATGATTTTAATACAAGTATTGATTGAAGTATTAAATATATGTTTATGTGCGAGTTATTTGATGTTTCCTGAAGTACGTGTTAAAGAACATACCTGATTATATATGATTATTTAGGATATAAGAGTAAACCTAAATTAATTATGGGGAATATTGGGTAGTATTTTCTTACGAGTACGAGTGAGTTATACTCAGAGAATAGAACTTTAGTATATGTCATTGATCCGGGAGCATGGATTAGACATAGTCATTGTCCCTAGTCCGAGAGTATGGATTGGACATAGCCAACTGTCATTAGTCCGGGAGTATGGATTAAGACATAGTCAGTCGTCCTCAGTCCGAAAGTATGGATAGGACATAGTTATTCGTCGTTAATCCGGGAGAATGGATTTACACATAGACACTTGTCCCTAATCCGAGAGTATGGAATGGGCACTATTATTGATACGAGAGCATGGATTAGATCCGAGAGTATGGATTAAGTAAGAGGTAAAATTTAAGGTCCGAGAGTATGGATAGTCTCGTTGTGAGGATTAACGGGGTGGGGTAAGAGTTGCTATTATATATATGGTGAAATTGTATATTTTGTGAGTCCTAAATTATATATATGATATAACATTGTGGGATTGAAATCCCTATGTACTCACCAGGTTTCCCAACCTGACCCACTCCACCTTATTTCTATCACAGGTGTCGATATGAAGTTACATTACACTGAGAGATTAAAGGGATGTAGATCACTAGTGTAAATAAATGTAAGTTCTGTTTATGCTTATGTTTCTGTATTGAAGATGACATCCCAAATGTTTTAAAATGAATAAAATACATTTCTTAGGAAATGCTTTGATAACGTATTTATCATGTTTTTCTCGGAACAAATTCCGCAACATTTTTATTAAAAGAAGTACTCTGATTTCTATAAAGCATAAACAAAATCGGTCTTTTCTGGCCGTGAAAATGGGGATGTCACATTTGTGATGCCTGAAAATGAACAAAAAGTGTGCAAGTTGAAGAAATCATTATATGGTTTGAAACAAGCACCAAAAAAATGGCATCAAAAGTATGACGATGTTGTCTTGTCTAATGGTTTTGCATTAAACCAAGCTGACAAGTATGTATATAGCAAATTTGATACTTCTGGTAAAGGAGTCATGATTTGTCTATATGTAGATGATATGTTGATTTTTGGTACTGATTTAGAAGAAGTTGATAAAACCAAGAAATTATTATCATCTAGTTTTGAAATGAAAGACCTGGGGGAGGCTGAGGTAATTCTTAGTATAAGAATTAAACAAGGAAACAATGGGATTTCAATTTCTCAATATCATTACATTGAGAATATATTAAACAAGTTTAACTTTGAGAATTGTTCTCCTGTTAGCACTCCTATAGATCCTAGTCTTAAGCTTCTACCTAATAAAGGATCTCTAGTGTCTCAACTTGAATACTCAAGGGCTATTGATTATCTAATGTATTCCATGATTAGTACTAGGCCTGATATAACATATGTTGTGGGAAGGCTTAGTAGATATACTAGTAATCCTAGTACACATCATTGGCAAGTTGTGAGTAGAGTATTCAAGTATTTGAAAGGAATTAAGGATTATGATTTGACTTATAGTGGATATCCTTCTGTTTTGGAAGGTTATTCAGATGCCAGCTGGATTACCAACTTAGAAGATCACTCTTCTACAAGTGGTTGGGTATTTCTTTTTGGAAGAGGAGCCATTTCTTGGGCATCCAAGAAACAGGCTTGTATTACTAAATCAACTATGGAGTCTGAGTTTGTAGCATTGTCTACTGCTGGTAAGGAAGCTGAGTGGCTAAGGAATTTGATTTATGAAATTCCATTATGGCCTAAACCGATATCTACCATTTCTATAAGATGTGATAGTGCTACTACCTTGGCTAAGGCTTATAGTCAAGTATACAATGGGAAGTCTAGACACTTAGGTGTTAGACATAGCACGATTCGTGAGCTCATCATGACTGGTGTGATATCTGTGGAGTTTGTGAGAACTCAGTTGAATTTGGCCAATCATCTAACCAAAGGGTTAGCAAGAGATCTTGTGCACAAGACGGTCATAGGGATGGGTTTAAAGTCCACCTAAAATCTTTTATATTGAGATACCCAATTCCCATCTAATGTGAGGTTAGATGTTGAATTCAATGTGAAAAACTTGATATTTGAATATTGGAACACATTATTTACATCATCCCAAGGTATGTGTTCAGTACTGCAAGTAATGGAGGTTGAAATTTTATTTCTTAATAGTTCTTTTGAAAAATTGCATTTGCAGGTGCAAGAATAAAAGGACTACCTATATAAGCATGAAGTTTAGCTGCTTCAAGAAGTTGGGACTTGGCTTTGATATGCTTATTGAAGGATGGGACACAAGCTAGTAAAATATAGTGTCAAGTTAGAATTTATGAGAATGTAAATTGTTGTGTATATTATCTTCATGTATTCACCTTGAACAGAAAGCGTTCAATCCTTAGTGACACCCTGATATTCGAATATTTGAAATGAGTAATATATACTAATTTGAAATTCAATCGTCACGATATTTCATTTATGCATCAGTTTGTTGTTGTTATGATTTTATTTTAAGTTAATCAAGATTACACTTAAATGGGGGAGGTTTGTTGTGATTTTACATCACTAATATTATTTAAGTGTAATAGGATTAATTTGTTGATCAATGTCACTTTGATAAATATTGAACAAGTTAGGATGGTGTGGAGTGCACATTTGTTTAAATTTGTCTTGGTTGAAAGTACACTGCTATTTAGGGACGAAACCCCTTAACGAACAGGGCTCCGGGGGCAGCGCCCCTGGGAGCGGGGTCCAAGGGGCGGCAGAGCCCCCCTGGCTGGGGTCGAGCGGAAATATTTTAGATATATGTTATGTTACTATATTAAAAATGCATCAGGGACATAAAATTGTCATATGACAGTTTTAAGACAGGAAGTTTTTCTTGTTATATGATCATTTCGAAATCAGTTTTAGACTTTTGGTACTCTTTTTTTTCATAACATCTTTAACATTCTCTCTTCTGTTTCTCTCTTTTCTGAGTCTTATCCGATTAAAGATTGAGAATATCACTCAAATACTTTAATCTGAAAGTGATATACACGATTCTCAGAATTTCCAAGTGTTTTTACCCCTCTTTTCTAACAAGTAAACTATTTAATTTCCGGCCACAAATGTGAACTTTTCGACAAAAGGGTTAAAATGGTTACTTGGTTGAAAAAGTGGGTTTTTTCTTTCGAATTTTTATAAAAGAATGTGGATCCGCACTCCACGTAAAAACGTTTTTAAGCATGTTTTTGCAAATAGTTTTAAAACCACGATATATTTGTAAGTGCTTTTCTAAAAGACGTCATCTTGGTACAAAACTCCATTAAGAAGATTAGGCATTAATCTATTTCATAGGAATAAGGTGCAATAGAAGAATATATGAAGTCCATTCGGACCGTCCACAGTGGATGAGACCCACATCTAATGCGGGTAGTGCCCATATACCCGGAACATTACAGCCTCGCGGCCTACAATATAAATCCCTTCCCGATGCACACTGTCCACTTTCTTAATTTCTTGCATATCCCCAAACCACAATCAAATTTCTATTCTCTGATTTCCCATACAGGTTGAATCTAGGGTTTCTATCCGGGTATTTATGTTTCTTGATCCGTGTCTGGTCGAAGAAAAATCCCAAATTTGCTCTTTCCCTGTATAGAATTTCATTAAATCGAGGTAATTTTTCATTTGTAGCTTGTTTTTTTTATCAATGAACTGAAATTGAAGGATGTTTAGATTTGACTTACTTGTTTGGAACCTTTAGTGGTCTTTTTGGTGTATGGTTCTTTAACAGGCCTAGATTATTTCCTTTCGAGAATCGATTTTTTTCTACTGAAAACTGGATTCTTGCTAATTCTGAGAGAAGATATCCCTGTCTAGAAATTGAATTCGGCTTTTTTTTTCGTAGAGGGGATGAGTTTGATTATTTTGAGCTCATATTGATATTGGTCTGGAGAAATGCATATAATCTAGGGTTTTATTCGAATCATGTGCTGCAGTATAATTATTGCTGAATTATACGATCTTTCATTTCTGCAGTTTAATTCTCGCTGAATACTGGGAGCTGTTATCGCTTGATGGCTGACACTCAGGAAGATTCTAAGTACAGGCCCAATTATGGTTTGAATCAAGGTTTCACACAGTCTCAGATTGTTGGAAAGTATGCTGACGAAGATGATGATGAAGCAGAAGAAGATGATGAAGAACAAGAACAAGAACAAGAACAAGAAGAAACAGATGTTGGTGATAACGAAATGAATGGTACTTCTACTCAGCAGAATGGAAATGACAATGATCATCATCATCAATATGATGATGATGAAGATGATGATAACGATGATGATGATGATGGTGATGATAATACCAGAAGAATGACCAGTGTTAACCTCCAGAGACATCCAAAGAAGAGGAAATTGAAGAGCTTGTTATCAAGTTTTGAATTTTCACCTCGAGTGGCACCTCCATCAACAGTGGCCCCACCAAAATCATCATTTGGTGGAAGAAACACACTTACAGATTGGAGTGAACATGAGACATTTGTGTTGCTAGATGCATGGGGGGAAAGGTTTCTTCAATGTGGAAGAAAGAGTTTAAGGTCTGAAGAATGGCAAGAAGTTGCAGACAGAGTTTCTCAAGAGTCAAAGATAGAAAGAACAGACTCTCAATGTAGAAACCGTTTGGATACATTGAAGAAGAAGTACAAAAAGGAGAAAGCTAGTTTAACAGGAAGCAGAGGTGTAAATACTAAATGGGTATATTTTAAAAAGATGGATATGTTATTATCAGGTGAGAATGTCTTCTTGAACCCTAGTGATAATCTTAATCCTGCAAATGGGGTTGATGATATGAGGGAAAGTGGTGGGAATTCAGATTCTCAAGAGGGTGATGATGATTCCGATTTGCTTCCACCCAAGAAATTGAAATTTAAAGGTGGTGGTGGTGGAGGTGGAGGTGGAGGTGGAGGATCATTCAGATTGCTAGCGGAATCGATTAACAAATTTAGTGAGATATATGAGAAGATTGAAAATGGAAAGATACAGCAGATGATAGAGTTGGAGAAGATGAGGATGGATTTTCATAAGGATTTGGAAATGCAGAAAAGGAAGATTCTTGATAGAGCACAAGCTGAGATAACAAAAGTAAGACAAGGAGATTATGAAGAAAATGATGGATCTGGTGAAAATGTTAGCGGGTAATGTATCTTTTTAATCAACTAGATTTTAATTTTATTATTGTTAATGTTAGTATATTGACTTGTTGTGTAATATTGAGGATGCAACTCTGTTGAGATTGTTCTCTATGCAATAAATGGATGTATTATTAGTTGCCATACAAGCTTATTTTGTCATATCTATCATCATTCTAATGCTCTGTATTTCTCCATTTTCTTGCGTTGGAACTTTGGATCATTTACTTGTGGATCTTTCTCGATGGGGTTTTTATCTGTTCAATCTACCATGATTGTCTTGTTGATTATGATCTGGATAAACGTAATTCTCTCATGCGTAATTCAATCTACCATGATTGTCTAATATCGAGGAAGAATATATGGCTAATTACTAGGGCATTCAAGTAGATGATGTGGCTCAAAACTAACTGTTGGAGCTTAGTGATGACTTGAAGGTGGATATTGTTCATTGTGACAATCAAAGTGTAATATTTGTCACAGTATTTTAAATGTTTCATGAGCACACAAAACGTCGCTATTGTTTTTTCGCGAGAATTTGTTGCTAGGGATTTGAAGGTGAACAAAATTTATATTCATGATAATCCACCGGAATATGATGACAAAGGTTAATGTCTTGCAAGTTGCAACTAAATTTGGTTTGTTTATTAATTTAGTTAGGCATCTCTAATATTTAAACTTTTAAATAATTATTATTTTTGTCATGACTGTTGTCCACTAACTTTTATTTATTAAAAAAAAAACTCTTGTTATAAACTCTCTCTATGGCTATCAACTTAACATTTTTAAAAGCCTTTTTTTACATGAGCTATTTATATTTTTCAATGAAAATGTCAACTAAATTCAAAAGGTGGGATAAACGCTAAAGTTTCTAGCAATTCGAGAGGCTAGTCTCTCCAAAACAAAATAATTGATATAAAAAAAAGGCATGATTTTTCTCCCTTCCCACTACCTAGTAAGGACTACTCACATAACAAACTGCAAAAGGCCTCTATTACTAAGTTACTCTTCAAGCTATCAGAAATCGATTTGGTTTTGCAGCTTTCCCAATTTACCCCTTCAAGTTAAGTACAAATTATTTTGAGCTTAGCAATACATTCGACCTCAAAGAGTCACCTTGTCCTCATGGTGAAAACAGAAAAAAGTCATCAAAAAGTGTTGTGAATAGTCTCTAGTCCTCCCATGTGGCATATGAAAATGGTAATCCCTTCTTTTTGATCTAACACTTGTTGATGTGTTTCAAAATGCCTGAATTTTGGATCACACCCTGAAAGTTTCTTCTGGTTCAACCTTTAATTTCAAGTCAATGAAAGTTTCTTCTGGTTCAACCTCTAATTTCAAGTCAACGATCAAGTGTGGAGGAATTATTGGGTTGAAATCTGATTTCCAATTAATCACTTTAGAGAGTGAGACATGTAACACTTCGTGTGTGCGTGAGCCGTGATGTGTCGATTATCTGGAGACAATACACTAGTGGGCCCACGAGTTGGACCACGGTGAGTTTGGTGAGGGATTGTTGATACTACGACTGAAGTTTTAAATATACTTAATCCCCCAACTCAAAATTCACATCTCTTCGTGTTCTGTCCTCCATCTTCATCTTTTTGTTGTGCTTAATATATTGAATTTTAATTCGCATCCCTTTCCATTAGTTGCTCATGTTGGATTAAGTGTCTAAGGTCTTAACCAAATTGGTATAATCTTAAAAAATAACAGTGAAATCCTTTTTGGGTTACCCTCATAACCAGAAAATAACTTGGATTGATTATGAGAGAGAGAGAGAAAGAGAGAGAGAGAGAATGAATTATTAATATATTATATGATTAATATATTAATTGGAAATAGTAATAATTAATTAAGAAATTAATCACATCTCTCACCAATATTTTAGTTTCCCAAAAACTCTTTACTATCCAACCCATTATTTTATCTTTCCCAAGCCTTTTGCTACCCAAGGCGAATATGATAAAGTAATTTATAAAATCTTATCATATTATAGCATAAATAACAAATACACAGATAGTAAGCACATATAGCATTTAATAGATATTTCATATCTATATGTAAGTTGAAAGTAACTATGGACTCACTTGATAAAGTGAATGATCAGTGATTTGGGCAGAGCTTCGCCTAACACCTTAACTTTTCCCCTTGACATGACCTAGGTATGATTATTACTAAGTCTTAGTATGGTATTCCTTATGACTAATGATAGTCTAGATTCATCAACAATCCCAATGTCTACATAAACATCTATCAAGTAAGGAACAATCAGTTATGATCATATTGGAGGTAGGGTCTGTTTGGTATATAGAGTGTATTGTTTGGAAATCTCACTTTAAACACCTCACTAAATCCAGCCTAGACATCACTTTTGTAAGTAGATCTATCAATTTAATGACTTTGGAATCCTGATAAATATTAATTATAGGTTCATAATAATGACTACGACTATAATTAAAAGTTACACTTAAATAAAATAAGTGTAACTTAACTTACAGAGTAATTCTAGCGAAACTGGTAATTGTGTGGACGTAACTCTGACCCAAAAACTTCTAATCGTCGGCTATTCGACACAGCAGGGCCTCACTAAAGTAACCGTGAACTAGGGAATAAAGGGAGCAAGGGCTAGAAATGATCTCCACAGGATTCAGAGGAAAGATATGAGAAAATGAGCTGAGAAATGAAAATTTTATAGGATGGAAACTGAAGCATTTCGTGCACCTGGTTCCTGCGCACCACACACTTGGTCGGTGAGGGTGACGTGGCTCCAGCAGGCGTTTGATATGTGTCGTCAGTTGGGGAAAATTCCGATTTCTTTAAAAATTCATATATTTTCCGTACGAGCTCCGTTTTCGATAAATTTTATATTCATGCGTAGCTATCGACAAGATCTAAAACTTTCCTTTAGAGCTTAGCAATACGTTCGGCTCAAAGAGTCACCTTGTCCTCATGGTGAAAAGTGAAAACAGAAAAAAGTCATCAACAAGTGTTGTGAATAGCCTCTAGTCCTCCCATGTGGCCTATGAAAATGGTAATCCCTTCTTTTTGATCAACACTTCTTGATGTGTTTCAAATGCCCGATTTTTGGATCACACCCTGAAAGTTTCTTCTGGTTCAACCTCTAATTTCAAGTCAACGATCAACTGTGGAGGAATTTTTGGGTTGAAATCTGATTTCCAATTACTCACTTTAGAGAGTGAGACATGTAACACTTCGTGTGTGCCTGAGCCATGATGTGTCGGTTATCTGGAGACGATACACTAGTGGGACCACGAGTTGGACCACAGTGAGTTTGGTGAGGGATTGTTGATACTATGACTGAAGTTTTAAATATACCTAATCCCCTAACTCAAAATTCACATCTCTTCGTGTTCTGTCCTCCATCTTCATCTTTTGTTGTGCTTAACATATTAAATTTCAATTCGCATCCCTTTCCATTAGTTGCTCATGTTGGATTAAGTGTCTAAGGTCTTAACTAAATTGGTATAATCTTAAAAAAATAACAGAGAAGTCCTTTTTGGGTTACCCTCATAACCAGAAAATAACTTGGATTGATTACGAGAGAGAGAGAGAGAGAGTGAGAGAGAGAATGAATTATTCATATATTATATGATTAATATATAAATTGGAAATAATAATAATTAATTAAGAAATTAATCACATCTCTCACCATTATTTTAGTTTCCCAAAAACTCTTTACTATCCAACCTATTATTTTATATCATGCCTCCAAACCAGAACGACGAAAACGTCTTGGGGTGGATGACTTTCATGTACAGTATCATAACAAATGAATAGTAGTGATCAAATCATTATGTAACTTCCGTGTTTCTAGGCTAGGCATTAATGATGACGTAATAGTCTAGGTCAACCTTTGTAATTTGTTTTGAAATAATAAAATGTGTTATTTGATTATTATGTGTTTTATGCTTAATTATTATAATTTAATGAATTAAGGATAAAAATAAGCGTCGAAAATAAAAGTTAGATGAACCCGATATCTATGAAGAAAGTTGTAGTGGTTGAAATAAGGATTCCGGAGATATTAAGAATACCGAAATCCAAGTTATAACGAAGAAGTTATGACATGTCAAAGTTTCACGACAGAACCGGCACGACGCTAGGTGACGTAAAAAGTGAATTTAGGATAAAGTGCTTTTTAGCATTAGTGATCTAAAAGAAATTCGTAGTATACGTTAAACCGAGAGCGTGCATAAAAAGAACGCCCAAATTTGACTTCGTATGAGGAATTTATGATTTTTCTAAGTTTCGGCTTAACAGTATGCAGCCTGAAACTCGAATTTTAGATCGAGTGATTTTTAGCAGAAACAACCTAAACGAGAATCGAAGATCTTGTCGATAGTAGTTTAACGGTAAAAATACAGACGAAAACGGACGTCGGATGAAGAAGTTATGAATTTTTAACAGACTTTTCCTGTCCCGGCCCGTTAAAAATATAATATTAAAAATAAATTCAAAATTAGCCGACGGAGTCTAAATGAAAGTTGTAGAGCATAATTTCACCTACGCGTGGATAAAAAGAACGTCAAAAACAGAGCTCGTATGCAAAAGATACGAATTTTTAAAGTTTGTGGCACAATTTCCGAGGCTTATCCGAAGTAGTACGCCCCGCGTACTCGGAAGCTAGGTCAGAAGTTCAACACGTCGCCTACTCCCTCGCATGCAACACGTATCATACAATTGCGACACGTCCGAGCTGATTCTCCAGTACGCCCAGCGTACCGAAGTTACGCCCAGCGTACACCATATTTACACCCAACGTAATGTTGAGCCTCGGGCACTATAAATAGTGTTGGATATAGTGTCTAAGTCCATAACTTTATTTGGTATGTACTTGACCCGACCCGGCATGGTCCATTTGGGTTGCATGGCATTGCAATACTTGGATAGACTAAATGAGAGAATAAGGCACTTATGATTATTAATATATTATAAGTTCTAATATATTAATAATAGTATTATTTAATTAGTATTGATCAAGTATTA